CCTTTTTTCTTTTTGTCCATTATTTCGCTTGATTTGGGAAATACTGTAAATCATTTTTAATTTGATGTCAAACACAAATTACGCTTGATAAATAAGAATAACCGAAAGTAATCTTCAACAGTCTTCAACAGTACTTTTATGTCTGAGTAAATGGCACTTGTTAAATAGATACTCCTGTAAGGCACTGAATGTATAATACATATAATATATTTAGGTCAAACATAAAATTAGATCTCAGATATAATTGTAATTAGATCAAAATATTTAATCTACTAAAAAAACCAAATCTAAACTTTGAACTTAAATTGCACTCACATGTTTGCCAAACTGGAGATGAACGATACTTTTCGACATCCAGAAGAAGTTTCGAAATATCATCTACGCAATATTGTCGCTTTAAGCTGTCCGGTACGTCCTCCCAGCATGGAATTAAAATTTGGCCAATTTAATAAAAAAATTTTAATTTAGAAACATGAATTAGCTAAAGGTTTGAAATTTAAACGAGTTTCCTTGACAAATTTATTATTAACTACTTGAAAGCAATAGCGATTGAGGTGTTGCTAAAGTCGGATGGCCAAATCCTCCAATAGATGCAGCACTAACGCGTACAGAGTATCGTAACCCATGTTTTAATTCAGATATTACTGCATAGTTTCTCATAATAGTATCCACAAGCAAGCTTCCTTCAGTACTGTTGAAATCGTCGCACAAGCTCCATTCAACTAAATTCTTTTCAATGCTATAAAATCTTACACTAATTTCATATTTAATTTTCTGATGGCAAAATTTTCCAACACAAACCTTTGTAGTTTATAACAAGATCCATATTACGTTGGCGAACATCTTTCCAACTCACTGTTAGCTGATCTGATGCTGAAACGACTACTTCAACATTGGTTAGTGATCCAGGAACAGTGGTATTTTCCAAAACAGTTTCCATTTTTTTCATTTGTAATAAACGTTTCTCTAGATACTTTACCCGTTTATCCTGCAAATTCTGAATTACTTGTTTTCTGTATAACCAAAAATAATTGAAAATTATGTTATGAAGAAATTTTTGCTCAAATTACGTTTCCCTAAATACTAGTTCATGTCGAAGAATTGAGGTTCTTCGTAAATTTGATTCAATACAGAAAATACATATGGCAATTTGCTCACTTCATTTCGAATGTTGGTGGCCCTCAAAAATCGAATTTCTTCAGTAATAAGTTCGATGTTCTCTTCAATTTGTTGCAGACGACGTTCTAGTGGACATGCTTAAACACTTTAATTATAATAAAAGAATTTCAAACTAAATCCCTTTGATTTAATTTCCTTCACTCTATCGAATCAATCTTTTTGAATTGGGTAATATTTTGAATCGAATTTAACTTTTTTCTGAATAAGAATTGTTGAGTTTCATTAAAAACATGGATATGTAAGACATTCAAGAAGGAAAAAGGAAAGCGAAATATAAGCATAATATCATCTGATACTCACATTCAATATCAATAGTGGCTCCACTTAGCAGTAATACTTCAGCACATTGTCGATGACCAAGCATTAGGGCAAATTCAAGCAATGTCCACTTTTCCAGATAAGCTTCGTCGATCCGAGCGTCAAATGATATGTTTGTTTTGGACAATATCACTCTTAGCATATCATCATCATTTGTTTCAGTAGCTAATAACGCTCCTAAAGTTTGTTATAACCTCATATTTTCAAAAAGAGGATAAAAGAAAATTCAGAAATAGCGATTTACTCTAATACTAATATATGGATGCAAGAAATGAGCTAAAATTCATACCATTGGAATTCAGCACATTCATTTTCAATTTTGGTTGCAAAATTTTGTAATATCTGCTATTTCAATCATTTGAATTTTTGTTTTCATATCACTGAATGGCACTAAAAATAATTATCACTAAAATTATCACTAAAAATATACATTGTATGAAATTAAAAACTCCGGTCATCACCCATAAAACTAATTGAAATTCCCGTAAAAAATTGTATAAAGGATAGATGATCGTGATTAACTATTGACTTTATCTATTGCATGCTAGGGGATTATTTGTTTCATTGTCAAATGATTTCATGATCTTTTGTTCATCCAACGAAATATTGTAACTTCTTTGTGTCCAAGTACAAAATTGTCTGCTACATCAAGTAACCCATCGAGTACCGCCTAACAAAGGTATATATAGTGTAACTCATTGCCAGAATCGGTTCCACCATGCACATCAACAACAGTAAATCTCACGACCAATATCCTTCTGATATGCGATTACTTGCTGATCGGTATTGAGAGTCAACCAGTTCCTTTCAAGTCCCATTCAACTTAGAAACGATTATTTCAATCTCAAAAAATCTGCGTCACTATATTCGTCGTATTGTATACACAATTTTTGTATGTGAAACAACAAACTATTCAATCAAAAATTTTTCACGACAATTCAAGCAGATGACCAAAATCTGAGATGTCTGAGATCTACTCAGTATTGACAACAACAGCAATATGGAAGATATTGAAAACGAAGAGAAAATTTTGGAGAACTGCGATAAAACATTGATTTAAAGAGAAATATAATTGTATGGAGTGGATATTGAAAATCAAGTTGTGTTTAAGTGAATGCAAACAACACAAACGGGTGGTTTAAGGGTTTGCAATGAGAAGAGACAGTTGAAGAATGTCAATTTCACGAGTTTTACTGATCGCACGAATTAAATCACCCAATTACGAAGAGATTGTTTGATAAACGTTCTTAACCTTCGGAGAAAGATACGGCAATTGATGGCATGGTGGGAGTAGGAGTGAGCTATCATTACTAAGAAAATATTATACGTATAATTTTACGCAAAAATTAAGCACTTACAACAGAAATATCATTTTTGTGCTTTGCAAGTGCTCATTATGCATGAAATTAATGTTTTTTATATCTAAAATATTGATTTTTCTCAGTTTCAATAAGTTTTAGTTCCATTTTCACTGTTATCAACTAAGGTTAACTTCCGCAAAAGGGACTAGAACGATTTCCGAAGGTGCGCATTATATATATATAAAAAAAAAAAAAAAAAAACTTAGTCTGATTAAAAGAAACTTCCGAAAATTTGGACAAATTTAGAGATTATCTCACCATTATATGGGATCACTAATTCAATTAAAATGCAATATTCTATATGCGTCTAACGATCAGACACTGTCTAACGATTAATAAAATTGAGCACATTTGACGGCAGTTCTAATGAATGATAAAATTCACGAGTTTGAATCTATTAATTTACTACCAATTAGAATTCCGTTATTTGTAAATGCAATGAACCTACCTAATTTGTATGAATTATCATTCAAAACTATTTTTCAGGTATCCGATGAGCTCCCGACTCTTCTATTGTGAGCATAATGCGTGTTGTTCTGTTCTCTCCCGTAAACATATGGATAACTCAAAAAATCTGAAAAAATCCCTTGAAAAGTGGCATATAAAATCAGTGTTCATGTACATAAATAGTAAATTGGGAGGTTTGTGCCGTCTGACCAGTAATTTCAAGGTCACTGAACTAACTAACAATTCAATTCACTCTACTCCTCACCAGTACATATAGTATACAACTGTAGTGCTCATTGCTGCTATATGCATACATCTCATCTATTGATTCTTAATCTATTTATCGGCCGGTAAATTATATCAAGATATCACGAACAATCAGGTTACGAAAAATCAAGTAATTTCTTCAATCCTTCGATTTTAGCTTCTTTAGCACATTTAAATTTTTTATTGATTTGAAGAGATAGATGGACATTAGTGATGCTAATTCATCTGAAACATCTGAAATCTAGAAAAATTGCTATGGATGAACATTAGTGATGCTAATTATGATATGATTTTCAATATTTCAAATTGCTACTAGATATTTAGCCAACTATTCACACCTATACTTCACTCTATCCCAACCTTCTCAGTCATTTTTTTCTGAAGATTAGAATTGCAAAAACAAATAGAATATGAATGTTACCAGTGATATGGTTATTCTTTACTCGTCAAAAGTGTAGAAGTTTTTTCCTCAACATTAAAATATTATAACATTTCCATATATTGTTTTCCATGAACCCCGAGCATTGTGAATTCATTTTATCATATTATGATATAATTCATTTTATACATGGTGACTTTGTTAAGCATGCTGATTTTGTACACTTACCGCCACATTTTGAGGATGAGAAACAAAGGAATATATCGAATTTACAGAAATAAAAGCAATGGAAGAAAGCAGAAACAGACCAAGAACTCCAATAGAAAACTGCAAAATCTGACAGAGAAATGAATGAAGGCAATCCATCCTATTCCTAATGGCGTAGCATATCCTCTGAGTTTTAGTGTCACTATCCAACGCTTCTCAACAAATAGCACATTCGGAGCACAAATTAATAATAGTCAAATGGCGAATAAGTACCAATAAGCACTCGTTGCGCTAAAGTAAGTTCAATTGACTTCTAATTCCTTTCATGTCAGCTATTCTGAAATCGACCCGCTCAACTTTTTCTGTCCCACTTTTTTAACTTTGGGATCCAAGTGTTAAGACTTTTTTTTCAAAAACGAAAATACTCGATGCGTAGAATATATCTCACAATCATAAACAAAAGAGGATCCCTTTGCAAACCTAAACGACGAAAGTACCTTGAATGAATTTGGAAGAAATTGTTTATAAAACACTGAAATCATTTTATTGAATAAGTTTAGAATATCACTTTCGACTTCGAAAAAATAAAAAATAACAGGATTTAAATAAAACAAGTAGGGAAGGTGACAAATATGCAGACTTTAACAATAAGAAGCAACGAGAATAAAAAAATGATTAAATTGAATTCCTATAGAGAAATATCATATCAGCACTCGGGAGCTTTTACCAATGGCGCAGCATAACACGCATCCAGGTAGCAATGAGCTAAATCACTGATAAACTGTTTATCTGGAATAGTTGCTGCGAGACCATATATAGCAGCCTGTAAGATCGTATTCATTTTCATTTTCTATTCAATTTTCAAGAAATATAAGCAGACGTGATGTAATTTCGTTCGAATTCTCAGGATATTCACAAAAATGCTTTAAATATATCTCAAATACGTAAAGAAAGAAAGAAAGTGAGATTCGAAGAGTAACCAAAACGTGAAAAATATTCAGAAGAAACTCATCCATATTCTTATGATGTCCTACTATAAATAATATAAAACAGTGTTGTTATTTTCTGAATCAATAAAATAGTTTAGAAATAATTTTTCATTCCTGAAAAATACTGTCGCGAATTTCGATTCGCGAAACTTCAACCATACAAACAAAT